GACACTTTAAAATTATTTTACAATAAATTTCGAAGGAAAAAATGCTGCCAGAAAGCTAATAACTACAAATAAGGAGCCCGTGTGTCCTGAATGATTTGGTATTAATTTCATCGCAATATCGTTAACCCTTTAGGGAAAATTTAAGGTGATTTATTGATTAACCCTGTATTTTATCAAGTTAGGAATGCAGAAAGTGATGTTAAATTTTCTTTCTGAAGTCTTGTTCTTTAATACCTAGGACTTTGAGAACGTATGCTTCATGTATATGTGGAGTACAGCGTGCCGCTATGGTTTTTTGTCTATGAAACGTGCTTTTGAATATTTAAACAAACATTCTTATTCAAACTTTGAGACAGAATGATTTGTGATTTTGCACACAATAATTGAGCCTAGAATAATCAAAGATAAAAATCTTGATTTTTTTTTTCCCACTAATTATCTCGAATTTGTTAATTGAATAGAATAGTTTCCCCTATCTAAATTTGTAACGTATTTAAAAAAATATTTTTTGACCGATTTTAACAGTATCAACTACAACGTGACTCCAGCAGCAAGAATGCCATGAAAATACTTTCATTTTGTTAGGAAATTTTAAATTATGCTTTAGAAAGTCTGGAATTTTTAGTTCCGAACTAAACTGTTTACCCGTTTTTCTCATGAAATTGAGGCATCCCTTCATAATTAAAATATTGTGTATATAACTGTTTTTTCGTGCTGGTGCAAGTTTTAGATTCCAGTTTCTCTAAAATAATAATAAAAATACTTCAAAATGTTCAAATTCTCTTACACGCAACACTCACCGTATTCGATTTTCCGATTGACATGAAATTTTAACGGCTGGTTTAGCGCCTTTCAAAACCTTCATACAAATTTTTACGTACTATGAAGCATTGAAGTAGTGATTTTGAAAAATATTAACACTTTCATGAACATACTGCCCGTCAAAGCACGGAAATCACCGCGTTCTTGTCTCTTTACTCGAGAGCCCCTATCAGCCTATCTGCCAACAGGGTGTTAATTTCCTCCGAGGGCATGTGGCAAGTAGGGTGACGAAAACGTGTTTATGTTCAAAAGGACAAGAAGGTTGAACACATCCATGAATAATCTAAATACATTATTTCAAAGATATGGATCCCTGAAAATGTTACCTCGATATACGATATACCCAAATACATAGGGCCTACTTATCACTTTTAGGTTAGAAACAAAATTATCAAATAATACGGTCTGATAATAAAATTTCAAAACAGTATAGTTTCGTAGTGCACCGAGAGCTTCTTTTTAGGTTTCCTTAACAATAGGCAGGGTTAAGAATGGTTTATGTATCCTTTCAACTGATGTCTGTAGAGTTAAGAACGCGAGTCACTTTGCCCTTCAAAGTAGAGGCCAACGAATACGGACACTGCTATCTGTCGTGAAAGAACAAGCGCTACATCTGACACCGGTTGGCTGTAAACGCGTAACGCTCCTCGCGCAGCCGCCGCGACGGTTCGCCCGCTGTGAAGGCCACGGACGCTCCCGATGCAGCTTCTATAACACTTAATTCTAGTACTCCATGGCACTTCAAAATTTGGATATGTGGGTTTTGCATCATGTTCTACCATCTGACGAAACTTCATGAGAATACGAATATCCGGCATGGTGAGTGTTGGTTGTTAGTTGGTGTCAATTTAAAAATAGTGGGTAGACAACAGACAACTACAGATAATATATTAACAAAAAATAATAAAAAAACAGTAGTAAACTCTCTCTGCAGATAATATATTCTGCGAATTACACAAGGAATACAATTTGAAGGTGGGGTAATTATAAATTAGGAAATCATTTGTGATGCTACATTTGTCTCGGTACAAAAACGGTAACAAATTATGATTTAAGAAGAGTCAGAAATGAAAAGAAATTTTTTGGTTTCGTTAGTGTAAGTTTTTCACGTTCGTGATAATGAACAGGTTTATATAAATCAAAGGCCACTGAGGAAGATTATCTTAGATAAAAAACTAGATTTAAGTCAGTCTGGATAGAAACGTGTATTAGTTTCGATTAGTTTGCCATTTTAATTACGCCGTTTTAATTAATATTTTAGGCAGGGGTGTAACTAGGCCGGTGAAGCCGGTGTATCCCCCCCCCCACGTTAGGGGCTCCAAAAAAGGATTCTTGGCTAGCACCAATAAAGTTGCGGTTCCTGATCAACAATATTGAAGGAGTTTCTTGATGAAGAGACTATTAGAAATTACTCGTCAGAATATTTAATTAAAGCTATTCTTTATTATTGCTGCAATTGAGTGCGAAAAAGTTTCAAGAAAACCGTAAAAAATAATATACTGGACTGGTGGTTGAGGAAGGGGGATTCACGGCGCAACCCTTCCTTCGTCTGTGTATCTACGGCAAGGACAATCAGTTGCGCTACTCGTCCAAGACCTACTGCGTGACCAGCGATCATACTAAAAAACAAAAAAACAAAAAATCATTAAATTGTCTTTAGTAAATGATGCGATGTAAAATTGACAATACGACAAAACGATTATACGACCAACTTGTGTTGCTGGGGTTTCGGAAGGTGAACGTTGTTGCTTTTTGTACTTTATGTAGTTTACGGACGAAAATGTCTTGAATTCATTTTAAGAATATGGTCCCAGGTATGAACAACTCAATAGCATAAAATGAAGTTGTATGCCTAATTAAATTTAATTTATATTGTAATTTCATTGGATCTAAGACTCACGATTTTGCATTAGTCAATCGCAATTAGGGGCCCCATTTTAATCTCCTGAACCGAACATCCGATTAGACGATACTCGTAGTTAAGTTGATATAAAAATAGTGGGTCATTTCTAATATAAGTATAAATCTAAAACTACAAGTAAATGGACGTACTCGCACCATCAAATATCACGTGTGAAGTACTGATCACCCTAGCCAATCAAAGTGCTGAACAAATGTGTAAGTTTGCTCGTATGCCACAACCAAATTATTTCGTCGAAGTCTTAGCGCGGAGCGTTGTTATGATTCAGAGATTTGTTAATTTGAGGCTACGTCATTCTTCAATTGCGCGTATTTATCTTTACCTGAAATGTTCTAGTTTCTTTTACATTTTTGTTTTATAGCAAGTTTCGTGGCGAGTTTTGCAATAATAGTAACTAGCTTCCAATTATTTCCGAAGTGAAAACGCTTGAAAAGAAAGAATATTCGAAGACTTACAAAATTCGATATTTTTAGAGACTTACATTTTAAGTACTTTTGTTACAAGGTCCCGAATATTCTGTAGAAGAAAAAACTCCCTCGCAGTATCTGTACGCTCTCTACATATCTCTTCGCAGTAAACTGCTGAGAAGTTTCCAAGATATACTTACGATGAAAGCTAATTTTTAATCTCCCCGTTGAAAGGAAAACTTTTCCTGGTTACTTGTGCTAAAGTGATTCGATTGCAATAATGCTGCCACAGAAATGTATGTCAATGAAATGAATGCTCGGCGTCTTCTGCAACGTTGCAGAACCCAGAGATTATTGCTAAATCCGGGTCAAAAGTCTAGTTCAAAACGTTATTTGAAAAAAAATCAATTATTTTAATATGTAATGGGCACGAGTGTCTGATATTAAATTATCCAGATCAAATTTTATATTTGAAACCAAATATCCACAATAGATTCAGGGGTATGGTCCAGGGTTTATTTAAAGACGGTCTGTTTTTATTTTCACATTTATTGATATAATTTTGTAAACAAACGTTTCGAGACTTTTTTCATGGTTGTGATTTTCTGAAATATACATATATCACATTTAAAATTATAATTATTTTCTTTAGATGATAAAAATGTGTAAATGTAGAATATTTCTTGATATAATATTTGGTGAATAAGGCAGAAAGAGTGAAAAATACCCACAATGTACTTTACTAATAATGCAGATTTACTTCCATTATTTCTTCCGAGAAGTAGGCTTAGTCATATAGTGCTTACAAAAAAAACTTCTTTTTTTCACTCCAAGCATACTTCTCAATTTTTCAAGAAATGTTTGTACAGGAAACGAAATATTGTTAATTTAAATTTTCATATTAAAGAGCAAATTACACAATTTAGGCCATAAATCCATATTTAAAAAAGCATATTTAAAGATTTATTAGGGCATAAAAATCCAGTCGATAATTATGTAAATTATTGATGTCGAGAATTCTCTAAATATACATAAAATGCACCACGTACAGGCGATGGTTTATGTGAATTACATTTATAAACAAATTATGTAATGTACTGCGAAATAAGTTTAAGCTACCCGTGTGGCATGCCAAAAAGAAAAATCCTTATTAAAATGTTAATTGGTTAAAATAAAGTACCATTTTTGGAATGCAAATCTTAGATCCCAAAAATACGCGTTACTAATGTGACTGAGATTACGGACTGCCAGTTGAGGAAAGAACCATGTCACTGAAGCGGCAAGGCCGGGAAAGGGAAGGGGTAAGGTCTAAAGGGGAGGGCGAAGGTTGATTACTAATAAACATCGTTAATTTCAAGTTAAGATTGACATAATCAAGAAACTAATTTGGTATTTTAGTGTTAATTTTAATTATTAGGTCATTGTAAATATTTGATATGTGGTTACTTTCAACCATAGTATTCATAGAGTTCATTTAATATAGATATTTTCCGATGTTAGTCTCAGGGATTATCTATATTTATCATGTGGGATTTCAACATTCTCGAAATCTATTTCATGATTATCAAGCCGTTATTTTGTACGGGAATTTAGTGTATTTGTTACTTTCTCGATTACTATGCCTGCAATGCTGGGAATGCTGTCGGTTTTCTGAAATGAAGCATTTTAAGAAATTAGTCTTCACGAATACTATAATAACATAAGTCTTCCCTGAACAGACGGCTATCATAAATAATGGTGTGGATATAGTATTGTATATGAAACTGGAGTTAACACTAATACTATTTCTGGACATTTGGATACACAAAGGTAGGTATTGTGCGAGGTGGCGTGTGCGTGTGCATCTGCGCATGTATTCAGCCACGGCTTGGCGACGTTCATGCAAATCGGTTAATATTTTTAATAAAAATTTCATTTTGTTTAATTCGCGTACGTGTAGAAGGTAAATTGTTTCACTAATTTGTTACCTATTTTCATTCGGCGGCCGACTTCGAGCGGTGCGGGGTCCTGAAAGACTCGCATGTTAAGTAGCCGAGGAAGCGCGCAGTTAAAGAAAACAAATAGCTTATATTTCGTGAATGTTTATTAACTAAATGGATCACGCGATTATCATAATTAGGATTATTAGAGGCTTGCCTTGGGGGAGAGAAAGTTTCTTGCCACTCCATATGTAACAACTGTCGCTTCAGGCACCATAATTTTTTGTATCACTTTCAGAGCCAGCCTCGTCACCCTACCGTCTTCGCGGGCTATTCTTAGATTTTTAACGTGGCGTCTCAAGATCACGTACGAAAAAGGGAGAGGGAAGTCAGACTCCAATAGGGAGCTGAAATGTCACTACAGCTCACTTTTACCGCTCCAAATTGGAGTCTGCCTTTCCTCTTTTCCATGCGTGACCTTCAGGCGCCACGATAAAAGAAATCGAAGTAAAAGTCCCAGTTTCCCACACCACCTAACGCGCTCTCGCTTCCTCGCGCCTTCCCCTCCCCTCCCCCCTCGCAAACGATCCTACTGGTTACGCCAGTAGCGGAGAGCAAACTTTAGCATTGTCTCGAGGAAATGAAATTTCTCTCACCCTTCCAGAATTGTTCTTATTTATTCAATCCTTAAAAATGAGAAAATAAGACGTCCAAAAAACGACGTACGCAAACATTTGCTAAACATAAATTTTAGAGAAAGATAAGACTGTTAATGGTGCGGAGAAACTACTAACATAATTCAAAGGAATCCAAAAAATGTGTACTTACGGGCAGCAGTTCAACAGCATCTATGCTGATGGGGGTCATTAGAACACGCGTAATTATTAGAATATGTAACAAAACATTCCACAGGTCTCCGCATTCCAAATATATTTACTGTCAAAGAGTTGAATTAATTTTTTGGGCCCCCTCTGTATAACATAAAAATATAAAATAAAAAAATTGTTTGACTTTATTAAACCAGTCACATTTGTTATTGGTTTCAGAGCCTAGCCAGAGCGAAAAATAGTATTAGTTTTAAAAAGGAATGATTGTAAAAACGAAAATTAAAAATACACTAATATTCCAATTTTATTTTTCAGATTTTCATCATGACTGCAGTGGAGTAAGTACAATACAATCATTTTTTTACAGTAATAAATATAACGTAATCAATCTTTTTATTGGCAATACATTTAATTTATGGATAGCATTCATGTCCGTCTACAAATCAATGCATAGCCAAAGTACCTAGTTGGGTGTTATCCAACGACTTGGCTAAAACAATTGGAAACAAAACTGGAAGAGAATTGCTCAGAGAATTGTGGTGTATAGTAAACTTGGACTAGAAATTGTTGCCTATGATTTTTACTGACTCGTTCATTTCTGCGTAAATGTTATACAGTCAGAGGAAGACTTGCGATGTAAGACAATTTTCTATTTACGATTTTGTAGGTACTAGTTTCCAATAAACAAAATTAACCATATAAGAAAATAAGTTTATTATGTGTAATACTAGATATTAATGACTTCCATATTTTTCATATTTGTAATGTATTAGACTGAGCTATGTAGATTAATCCGTCAAGATATATTAGTAAATAAAGTGAAATCTTCAATATATCAGCTCTTATTCTGCTGTATGTTTCTTCCGACATTAGGCCTGAATTTCATAGCTGCAAACGGATACTTTTCTTCGTAATCTCAGCAAGTATATCATTCTTCTCTATAATTTCATGTGACCATTTAAAACGCAACTTTAAAAATTGTATTTAAATTTAAAAAGTTCTAGGATAATTCAATCTGACCGGTATTGATTTTCGTGTCAAAATCTTTGAAATAAAGTTGGTATTAAGATTCAAATGTCATCCTTCAAAACTCTCACAAATTGTTCAAAATATAATAATTGTCAATGTTTCTGGTTACCATTACCTACATTAATATATTTTCGCGATTTTTAATGAACCAGTAGTTATATCCAGGGGAAAGTGTTCTTGGATTTTTAGAATAATTAAAACCTGGATTCGAGATACTGTCGAGTACGCTAAAAACGTTACGGTCCCCAAGCAACAATTTTTCAGGACAGAAAACTGATACTTTAGAACAGTGATGCAACAAATGTAAGTCGTGTGTGTCCTTAACGGTTGAATATACCAAAATGTGAAAGGAGATGTTCGTAAATGGGATTGTTAATTAAGTGTTCAGTTTCACCAACGTTTCCTAGGTCTTTGTTAATGGTCTGTCTTTCATTAGTGCGCTCTGTTTTTTGAATACTATAAAGAGAGTACATAGAAGGCTGAGAGGTTCAAACTCTATGGTTAACATGCTCTTGAGTAGAAAGAATGAAGATAAAACCATTACATGGTGAAAACATAAATCACGGACTCGGACAGAACATCATTACAGTGTACTGTTTGCTATGGTGTTTTATTGTATTTGTATTTGCGATTACGTTGGTATCTTTCTGATGGTCATAAAGAGAAGGAATTGTCATCTTGGCACAAGGGAAAGTGCCCTCGTTAACATCCTTCTGTAAATTCAGTAATATTCGATGTAATTTTCTGTTTAATTGGTAATTTTACACACAAATTACACAGCGTTCTAACAATTGTATTTTTTCATGGTTTCGCTTCATGGACACTATGGTACGGATAAGAAAAAAGCCTGAAGGGGAAAACACTTACCGTCAGAACACGAGAGCGTGCTAATCTACCAAACTCTTTCTAAATCATTTATTTCCTTGCACGGGCGTTCCGTATTCTCCTTTTTAATCGTTTCCGAATATAGAACTCAATCATCTGCATATAGTAATTTGCAAATTTCCACACCAATTTTGGCTCGAATGTGCCCGCTCCCTGTACCCATGTTATTAAATAAACAAAGCTGTAAAAGAGGATAACCCTGTCTTACTCCTACTGACTAACTTATTTTTTGCGTTCTACTTTCGTCGCCATGAAACGTACGTTTGAATAACTTGTCTATTGCAACGGAAAATTATATGAATTTTTAAAGAAATTTCTCTCATAAACAGCATTAGACTGTTCCGGAATAAGCAGGCTCCTTATTACCAGTCTCTATCCGCTCTGCACTTTTTTATTCTTTTAAAAATTTTAATTTTTTTCCATACGGCTGTAAAGCCAGATACATTTAAAGTTTCACCCTCCTTTTACCGAATTTCAACGAGACGTATTATATCAAACGTACTTATGTACATAGCTCTGGAAGTACGATGTAACAACATCCTACTTTTCAAAAGCTTTTCTTGCCCATTCGGCGAACTCCTCTATTCCGGCTCAACGCACGATTCCTTCTGATGCACGTTTGAAGCAGCTATCGCCCTCGCTACATTTCGCGCCTAGATGAGTGCAGTGAGCTCCACCGAGAACGCGAGCGAGACCGGCTTCGCGAGCGAGACCGGCTTCGCGAGCGAGACCGGCTTCGCGAGCGAGACCGGGCCACGGAAGCTGACACGGGCTGAAGGGGCCGCAGAGAGGCCCGGGTTGCACGGAGGGAAGTGTCAACAAACCTCGGGATGCGCTCTCTCGCGGTGCTGGCGGGGCCCCGCTTCACCGTCCATGCCAGCGGACAACTCGCTTAGGATGTAGCGCCCCGACATGACGAGCTTGTTGAATCGAATCGATGCCCTCTTCCGCGGTATTTTGCCTCCTCTAAATTACGCGTTTGCCGCACTGTCGAGGTCACGTCCTCACGGACGCACACATTGCGATTCCGGGAGAAATACTCCCGAGCTGCACGCTTCCAGGAGGAGGCCAACTTGACCACCATCATGCGCGGCTGTCCCTCGCGGCGCCGCGCCGTGCCGTGCCGTGCCGTGCCGTGCCATCCTGTCCTATGCGCACGTTCCGTATCCTGCAGCTCGAGCCTGACTCCCAGCTGCTCCGCTAAACCCCAGAATGCACCGTTTCGAGTCCGCACAGGACTCGTTCCGCTGCTCCTGGGTGCCAGTAACGATTTTATTACGAAACCATTTGTTTATCAAAGTAATCAATCTTATGTATAAACGTAATGAACGTTGCGGTCTCTGGAATCTACCCAGCATTCTCTGCCGATGCTACTATAACAGGTCGATTTATCCAATCAGTTCCTGATGTTTTTTGTAATATTGCGCGATTAAGTGTGAAATTTGGCAGAAAAATGCTCATTAAAAGGAACTGGTAACGAAATATTTAATAAATCGAGTTGATAAATTTAGGAAAAGGTCCTCTAACACGTGTAGCCAGAATACGATTTGTTGGTTCTCGATGCCGAAAAATCTAATGGCGAAACGTCTCTTCGTCCGTCTATGAAAAACGCTTGCGCCTAAATCTACTCATTTCTCAAGTTTCTCAAACTGATATCTCCCCATTCGATCCTCATACCTCCCCAATCGATCTGGCTGATGTCACAGCCCTTTGAATTTGAAACCAATATTTTATTTTGTGGGTACTTTACATGAAGCCCCTAGGACATTTTTAAAAACTTCGAAAAAGTCTTTGTTTTGAATTTTTTGTTGGGTAGTGAGAAGTACGTTTAAGAGAATGGTGCAGGTTTCATGTTAAAATCCTGATTTTTCAAAAATTTCAAAAGTTCAGACTTTTTCGGAGACTTCCTACTACTAAAGTATTGAAGATATAGATTTTAACCTGAACGAAATCTATTTCTTAAAGATAGATTTTGAAATAAGTTCATGTACAATTTTTCGGAAATTTAAGTAATTTTCGGGTAATTTTGCGTGAAAATACGGGCGAGTTAATACGCGCTGTTTTAGCACGACTATTTATTCATGATTTAGAGATTATCAACGTTAATAGGAGGGTTGTATTCAACACCACCCCACCGCAAAGGCCTGCACGCTCGCAAGGAATCCCAGCCCCGGGGCGGTCCCCCGGGCACCAACACAGTGCGGTAGGTAGCCTCTCACCCAGCAACCGATAGCCGCTCGCCACACCTCGGTCGACACCGTTGGGCAGCAAGCAGAGCACTTACAGAAACGTTCTGCGCCTGGCGAAACTCCACCATTGGAAATAAACGTACATGACAAAGGAGTCATACACGGTCATAAGTGTCGCGAAACGTCAGAGCCCTAGTCCCCGATAACTGCACTCCACTCAGCAAGATACTACTATACTACCACTTTCGGTACAAACTTTTCTCCCATGTCAAACAGATGGAATCAACACTGAGAAACATTATGATTTTTTTTAACGTCCAGGATATGTACTGCTTTTTCACTCATCAAAGAGGAGGATCTGCCCGATTGAAGTCTTATGACCTCATTTTGGACAAATTGCAGACTAGTACTGTTTTTCCACTCACTCATTCATTTATATCAATGCATATTTTATTCTCTTTATTAAATCTAAATAGTAAAGTAAGATTATCTTTTTTTTCAAATCTATATTTACTTAAAAACTTTTTACCTCGAAATTCTAGAAGGTATTCTTAATTATTAAACATAAAGCCTAAACCACCCAATTCTCCATGAATACTAACAAAATAGAATATATTATTCATAGAATATCATAAATTTCCTGCATCATGTCCGATAGGATTTATAATATTATGAACAATATATTTAATTTTTTGTTAGATCATTGTATACATAAGCTACTACTTTGACATAATATTCCATGAAAATAGTTACATTATGATCAAATTTCTTTATTTTAGTCTCATAAAAGTCCACATCTACAACTTTGTTTTTATATCATACATGCACATCTTGAGGCATACCTCAAATTTCAACCTTCATTATAATCTGACTGAAATGAAGATATAATTGCTATTCTGATGAGGAACTTCAAATAATCTCCATTCATTTGAGTATATGTCAACTAATGTAAAACATAAATTGGTGCATTTATGTTGTTACCTAAATTTTGCCAAAGTTGTTATAATATATTGCTGTATACTCCATTGATCAATTTTGGAGCCTGTATTAAAATGAACGGGAGGTTTTAAATAATTTACTTCTTTCTTTCCATTTCACACTAAGATTCATCTTAAAAGATACATTCAAAATTAAATCATTGAAACTAACATTTTCAAAATATATATATTACAATGGAAAAATCTCAAAGAAGCTGGGTCTGTGATCCATCTTGATCAGATTTTTTGTCATGTTTC